AGTCACTTCGATGCAACAAATATGCGAACATATCAGCTATTTCAAACAAAGGCAAAGTATGAAGGTTTTTTTGCCAAGTTTTTACGTTACACGGATCTACCAGAGTTATCGTCGACTCACTGTGTTTTACAGTACGGCGACGATTGTTTGACTCTTGGCGAACATTTAACTCGTTTGCTAACTCAACAAGTTCAAAAAGTTTAGCTTTACGAACATTAATATTGATGCAAGTTATACCACGATCCCGACGAAATTTGCGGAGTTCTGGAACTTTGTTGCTTTTCCAATCTATTGATTTACGCATGTAAGAATACAGAACTTCAATAAAAACAACCCCACTCAGGCTCGTCATCCGGGTATTTTGGATGCGCCCTCTAGCGGAATTCCGTAGAAAACTAACAACTCGAAAATTAGGAATTCACACTATTGTCAAGACCATGAATGAACTAAAAGGACTGAGAAATTAAAAGAATTATATTGCCACAAAGTTCAAAAAAAAAATAAAATTCGGCTGCACCAAAAGCTTGGAAACTAGTGTATATAAATAGTTGACAGAAGAGGCGCAATTGAACTTCAAGTACTTCATTGCGTAACTTACTGCGCGGCGATGCTGACATCAAGTGCGTGTTGACCGAAGTTTGATCTTCTTAACACGCACTGAACAGGCGCGTTACCTTAGCGACTTTCTTTCTTTCAAGCTCCGCGCGTCGATCTTGTAAAATTGTTATTCGTTCTGGCGGTGCTGTAATTACGCAAACTTGTATATTTTAAGATCGTTTACTTAGTGCGCTGCTTTTCTAATTACGCAAATGTGTTAATATTGTACCGGCTCTAAGAATTTCAACATTTTGATATATCGCTTTCATAATTATTACGCAAACTCAGTTATTTAATATTGGACACAGAACGTTACAAAGTGTATAGATTTGAAGAGTAGTTCGGAATTTAAAAATAGTTAATACCCGTTGTATCCCCAAACTGTACCTGTGCCAGTGACCAGTGTTTGGGCGACCTGTCGGTGTTTTCAATGAGCCAGCGAGAGAAACGATAACGATAAAAATGCGGTCGTTTTCCGGTCGGAAAATACAATGCGATCGGAAATTGAACGATAACGGTCGATTGAAAAGTGGGAAGTTGGGCGAAATGAGTACTGCAGTTCCAGTGATATTATCGTATTTCTAATTTAGTTTTAACACGTACAATGTATATTCACTCACTGTTCACTATAGCTAGAACGCTGTCAGTGTCTTCACTTTCGGGTTAGTTTTTCTGCCGATTTTTCGAAACCAACAACGGGATTTTTTATTTGGGATTTTGAGAAACTTTACACGAATCGATATGGTATTCATACGCACAACACCTCACAATGTTTCAACTTTTAAATTGTCAGTTAACAAGGGTTTTCATAGTAGCACTTCTATGAGATTGACGTACTAGAATGAATAGGTTCAATTATCAGTGTTCACCGATGACATCATTGAACTGGCCCTCTAGTGGCAAAATTACGCTAGGCAAAGCAGACGTTTGTCATCTGCTCCACAGCCCATTTTATACCCCATATTTAGGACATTTCGCAGCACATACAAGATGTTTTTATTGACAGAATTTATTCATAGATCTCAAATGTCATCTACAGAGTTTCAAAGGCCAGACCTCTGCTCCCCTTTAATTCGCAGTACAGTGTCTATCTAGTATGCATATTAATGTGTTGAATGTAAATAAAAAATGCATTGAACGCTATATACCTCATTGTATCTACAGACAGAGAAAGAAATATCAATATCCGCCTCTAGTGGGCAAAAGATAACGGTCTGGATGAAAGCTTATGACGTAATGGGGAATGAACAAGAGGATAAAGCTTACATATATGTGGACGAAACTCCCCCAGACGCAGAATTCAAAATGATTGACAGCAACGGCAATGATATGTCAATGGATGGTACCACCATGGACTTTGACAATAACCAGTAAGATGTTTGTGAATATGACATACATTTAGTGTGCTGCATAGTCTGTATCATACAAAAATCTCGAACACTTATCGCTGTGAGCATTGTTATGCTATTTAAAAATATAAGAATATATAATTGTATTTGTATGGCGCAACTTTTAAAAATGGTTTATTATACACTGCGTTGTTTTTCTCTCAAATGTAGAATCATGATGCAGGTCAGTGACGAGGAAAGTGGTATTTACAAAATTACGTGGGAATTACGTGATGCAGAAACCGGGACTATTATTTATGCTGAAGGAGAGATCACTGAGAACAAACCTTCGGTAAGTACCAAACGGACTACGTCATTTCCGGCAAGTAGCTTACTGTGTGAAGCAAATAGGCGTTTCCATTCAAATATTCTCAATTTCAACATTCAATTTTATAATTAGAGTTCAACTTTCACGTGAATAAACAAGGTAATTTACACTGTCCTTGTTGAACTTGTATTTTAAAACACATATAGAAGCATGGTGTCGCGTTGGGTTTAAAAATCAATCAATCCGGTAATCCTGTAAACCTTGTTTTTTCCAGGACGGAAATTGTCCTACCTCTGAATGCGAGTGTTTGGACATAGCTGATATATGTTACTATAGTGCTTACGTCATCAATACGGAGAGTGCTACCATGATTGAAATGCCTGACGGTGACGTTGAATGTGTGATGAAAATAATTGTATACAATAATGCCATGATTGAAACACCAATGGAAATGACGGTAAGTAAGCACATAGCAACGATTTTACACTGTTATATCTTAGTTTTGGCAAAATAAACAAGCTTGTAAAATAACCTAAAATTGTAAAGCTAATGAGGCGAAAAATATATATTTTTAATTTAAGCATATATTTGACACAATATATTGCACAGACAGAATGAATATTCAGCTTGTTTTTTTTTTTCCAATCGCTTATTGACGCACCGTGACAGTTATTTTTTTTCATCTTCATTCCGTTCAAAGTTAATGGCTCGCGCTCCAAGCGCACGTGTCGGTGGCAGTGGAGGCGGGAGTGCTGGTGCCATCGCTGGGGGCGTTATTGTCGTTATTATTATCATACTTATCATTGTTGCTGTTATAATTCTGTGGCGAAAAAACATGCTACCTAAGGTACGAGACGGAATGTTTATAAATCCTCAAATCATTATATTGATTACGTTTACAAACTATTTCTTGATTATTAATTAATTTATTGTATTTCACATACTAAGTCAATGTTGTTCATATTTTAATCTGTCTTGTCGATTATTTTTCAGTTTTTCAATAGAGGTCCACCTGTTACTAGAGCATCAGATTGGGGTG